TTAGCACCCAACCTCAAACATAGCATATGGTCAATATTCGAACTGATAGTGATAATAATAATTATTTATTATATAATCTAAATAATTTTATAAAAATAATATAATTATAATAATATATAAAATTATAAATTTATAATATAATGTATTATTATATAATTAATTTTTATTAAAAATTTATTTATAATATTATATTTATTTATTTAATATCATATCATTATTCTAAACTTATAATATTTATCCGTATTCCGTCTTAGCAGTATGTGATGAAGCCATGCAATATGACGACCTGACCATGTAGTTTTGTTTTTTTTGTTTTAATGACAAATTTTATTAACAATCACGTAACCTTCCGCTGTGACTTACAACTCAAAAGCATTCACACGTGTCCGAAAAGTTCCCTTCTGTCTTCGTGACTTGTGATTTGTGAAACCTTATTCCAGGTAAACCCAAAGCAGTCATTTCACCGTAAAATTCGGACAAGATCACCGAGAATCCAGGACAGTGCCGTCATTTATTTGCACTTTTTTTTTTTATTGTTTTCTTTTGATAAGCCAATTCCTTCTTTGCACCTCCAAGGTAAGCATCAAACTTTAACAGGAACAGAACATGGAAAATGTCCCTTACTAATAGCAAGAGAGAATTGTTTTTTAGTTTCTGAGATTAGAAAGTGTGTATCTTGTTTGGTAGGAAAGAAAATTTGAGGGTTAAAAAAAAAAAAGGAGAGAAATTCACAGGCTTCTCGAGCTTTTTCTTTCTTTCTGTGCTCTGCAACTCCCAGTCTGTTGCTCCATTTTGGGTGGGTTGGGATTTCACGGGCAAAGTCCCATTTGGGGTCTCTTTCGTCACCCACCAATCATCCAACGGTTGCAGTGTCTCCACGTCTTCACCACCACCGCGTCTTCTAGCTCGATCTCGAACTGGGTGGTCTTTGAATCTATGATATGATAATGTGAGTGTTGGGTTTTTGGGATTCTGGTTTTGGATTAAGAGTGCTTTTGGGGTCGTAGTGGGAAGCAAGAGAGAGCAATGGATCGAGCGGCAGTGACTGTTGGTCCGGGAATGGACATGCCGATCATGCACGACAGCGATCGGTTCGAGTTGGTTCGGGACATCGGGTCAGGTAATTTCGGAGTGGCGAGGTTGATGAGGGATAAGCAGACTGAGGAGCTTGTAGCAGTCAAGTATATCGAGAGAGGTGAGAAGGTTGGTGTCTATATTTTTGCTTAACCAAAGTTTAAAGCTCCACCTTTTTTTCTAGAGTGAAATGATCTAGCTTGTTTCTATTTGGGGATTAACAAGTGTTTAATTGCTTAATTCTATTTGGTTCATGGATCTTTTAAATGTGGCATTTCTTTGAGCTTTTGATGCGTGTAATTTGTTGGTTTAGGTGCTAGGACTAGGGGGGTATTTGATGTTTGAGTGGATTAATGGGTGCCGATTTAGGGTTTAAGGAGCTGTAGATTTTAGTGAGATGGAGGAATTGTTTCAGTCTGGCAGTTGTTTAAATTTTGATTTGCACCATTTGGCATTAGTGTTTAAGTAGGGAGTCTTAAGTAGTTGCATTTCTAAGTAGAGAGGCCTTTTGAACTTGAGAAATTTATCATGTCATCTAAGTTTATGGTAGTTTAGTCCATGGCATCTAATTTTATAGTAGTTTAGTCCATGGCATCTAAGTTTTTGAAGGGAAGGGTTGAACCAGAATTCAGATCTTGTTTGTCTCTTTGCATTGAATTTGTCTATTCCATTAGTTGATCTAAAGCCTTCCTTTTCTATTTGTTCTGTTCAGGTTTTTTATCTGGTGCAAAATTCTTTCACTGACCTTTTTTTTAACTGAGAGGATTGATAGAAATTTTGGTTTTGCTGTAACATATGCATGGTTAATATTTGAGGAGCATGCCAAATTAGAAGTTGCTACCTTGTATGAAGCAGAACATGAGAGCACAATATTTTTTTCCCTCTTTATGCTGCATGGGTTTGGTTTACTTGTTGTGAAATCATGGTTCAATCATTTTTACAGATTTCACAATTTTCCTGTGTGATTTTCCTGTGTGTTTTTATGTTTTTAACAGATAGATGAAAATGTAAAGAGGGAAATTATCAACCATAGGTCACTACGACATCCAAACATTGTGAGATTCAAAGAGGTGTGTTGTGTTCCTACGCCCTGCATTACTTCATTTTTAATGTATATTTTCAACTTAATGGTATTGTGATGTAACATAGGTAATATTAACACCAACCCATCTGGCTATTGTGATGGAATATGCATCTGGAGGAGAACTATTTGAGCGGATATGCAATGCAGGCCGGTTCAGTGAGGATGAGGTTCTTGCCATTATGTCTTTATGCTTTCTTGTTTTCTTCTAGTGCTCAGGATTTAATTTTGATCTGAGTCAGCTAACATATGATGCAGGCACGCTTCTTCTTTCAACAACTTATATCAGGAGTCAGTTACTGTCATGCAATGGTAAGTGCCTTTAGTTTAGTGCCTTATTTTCATAATATTAATAACTACACAGTTGGATCCCTTTTTCTGCATTTGTCTATGAAGCAAGTATGCCACCGGGACCTGAAATTAGAGAACACATTATTGGATGGGAGTCCTGCTCCACGTTTGAAGATTTGTGATTTTGGTTACTCCAAGGTATAAGATTTCCTTTTTCTTTGCCTCCTTGGCCAGCTTAACTGTGTGATTATGGACTATTTACCATGAAATTCTTCACTGCTCTTTTTTGTAACTAATCTAAACGTAGCATAGGTGTCTATGATGTGCATACTATTCTTCGTGTTAATAATGAGGGTTGCCTTGATATACTGCTGCTTATGCATGCTGATAGCAATACAATTTCATGGCAAATTTCTTTGTTGTTCATTTACTGTTCCTTCCTGTCCCACTCACTTCTCTTTGATGTCTCTGTTCTTGTATTTTGACTCCTTGATATCATCTGCTTTAACAGTCCTCAGTGCTGCATTCACAACCAAAATCAACTGTCGGAACTCCGGCGTACATAGCTCCTGAAGTGCTTCTCAAGAAAGAATACGATGGCAAGGTAATATTACTTGTATACTGTCATGGCATGCAAATTCCGTAACCTAAAGTGTGTAACCTCCACTAGTAAGGGAATTGGACTCTGTAAAAATGTAGGCACAATTTAAGCAAATTCTGGCCGTATCTAGTCCACAAGAGGAAGGATATCACATTTACCCCATAAACAAGCGTTTATGTCATAATTCTATGAAAGTATGTTTAACTTTTGTGAATATATGTGCCAGATTGCAGATGTCTGGTCATGTGGTGTAACCTTGTATGTTATGTTGGTTGGAGCATATCCTTTCGAAGACCCTGAGGAGCCTAAGAACTTCCACAAAACAATACACGTATATCCTTACTCCATTTTATTTAGAGCTGAATGTTTGCTCCCTTCTTTAAGATTTTGACTAACATAATAGATTGTTTGTGGCAGCGAATTTTAAAAGTCCAGTACTCTATTCCTGACTATGTTCATATATCTCCTGAGTGTCACCATCTGATCTCTAGGATTTTTGTTGCTGACCCCTCAAAGGTTTGTCTGTCGACACTTATGTTATTTCTTGGGGGTACACCTTAGCTCATAAGCATGCCTTAACGAAATACTTTTTGGGATATCTAACAACCTCAAATGCTATCATTATGTATCCCTTGGATACTCAGTTCATAGCTCTAATATGTTTCCTTTGTATTGCAACAGAGGATAACCATTCCTGAAATTAGAACTCATGAGTGGTTTTTAAAGAACCTACCAACAGATCTCATGGATGAGAACACAATGAACAACCAATTTGAAGAGCCAGATCAACCAATGCAAAGCATTGAGGAAATCATGCGTATAATTACCGAAGCTACCATCCCTGCAGCAGGTACAAATAATCTTAACAATTATTTGGGTGACAGCCTGGACATTGATGATGATATGGAGGACCTAGAGAGTGATCCTGAACTCGACATTGATAGCAGTGGGGAAATAGTGTACGCAATCTGATTCAAAAGCACTGCAGGTGGGGGCAGGGAGACTCTGATTGTTCAATGTGCATTGAAGTTTATATTTGAAACTTTAGCGCAAATCAAAATACGGGGTGACTTTTCATCACTAGTCAGAAATGGAGGAAAGTTTAGGTCAGGTTTTGGGAAACCTTTGATGTCTTCTTTTCAAGTGGAGTTGTGTATCATATTGTAGTCTTTGTAAATTGTGACATGTAATTTAGCTTTGATTATAACGTTGTCTTTAACCATGACGGTGACCATTTTCAGTATGAAGATTAATAATCTCTTGGTCACGTGTAAATTATTTTCCCAAAAAAACTATTTTGAAGTTAGACTTTATTGGACTGCAAAACCTAAATTCTTAGATGAAAACTGAAGTCCCCAAACCCGCATTCCATTTAAAGGTTCTTGTTTTACAGTTTGATATAATTTGAACAATTTGATATAATTTGGACTGCTGTTACCAAATGAACAAAAAGGGTACATAAATGAAAGAGTTATTTCTGATACATTTTACAAAAGGGACAATTCAGTGCTTAGATAAGCAACTGGCCCTTGTACCGGGGAAAAAAAGAAAAAGGGTCATGATATTACATATCCAAGCATCCAGCTCAATTTTGGGCTGCTGGCTCCCTAGTCTCTTAACAAGAAAAGAAGGAATTTTGATTCTTGTTGTCAGGTCCACACTCTAAACATCCCAGGGACCGACTTGTTTAATCTCATGGTCAAGGCTGTTTCCATTTCTGAAAACCCCTGCTAAATGGTGTGCATAGGCGAAAATCTAACACTTGAATACCACCTGTTTCAAACCCAATTAATTAGCATATGAATTTGATCTTATGTAGTATTATTAGGAGGTGAAAACTTTCCAGTACAAATGTGCATGGCCAGGTAGAACTAATTATCTTTCAGCAACTGATTGATTAAAGACTTAGGCCAAGTTTATAAGATTTTTCCAACAAGAAAACCTCACTTATATGGGTCTTTTTCAAAAGAAAATAGCCAAAATCAAAAGAAGATAACTACATGCTTACTTATTCGATGTCAAAGTAACATAAAACAGATGTCGAGTCAATGCAATCTTACTGTTGAGATCACAGCTTATTCTTCAGTATCCTTCGATCAACTCTGCTACATAGAAGTTCTAGAAGCCATTTTAGGTCTTCTATACCACAGAAACATCAACCATAAAGTCCTCCATAATGCCCCATTTGCAAAGTGTGGAATAAAAATGCGCAACAAAAATGGGTAGTATGGGCCTGGCAGTTTGATCAATGTGAAGAATATTGCAATTGCAATCAGATGCCAAGGTACTTTTGCATCCTGTAAACCAAACAAAATGATCAGACAGTGGTTCCTGAACAAGAAGTAGATACTTAAAATTGTTTCTAATAATCTTCTTCCTTAAAAAAATATCTACCTTGAGTAGAGAAGATAGTTCCAAGGCAGTTTCTCCTAGAACTCCAGCAACAACAAATCCAATGAGCAGGGGAACAGGAACAAGAGGCAACTTCTTTACATGGGCACAATAGGACATCTCACTAAGGGAGGTGACTACCAGTAAAGGTACACTTAAATATTTGACAACTGCCAATATAAGATCGAGAAAGAGTTGAATGAAGTTCTCGAATGCCCTGTTCCAAGGAAATTCCTTGACTGGCTGGGGTGAACTATCCCATAATCTTCTTGCCTTTTCAATTACACTCTCTAGATTTAATTTGTCAGAATCCCCTGACTGGTCTGCAGCCATAGCACATATCATAGGCTTATTACGTTGAATGACTCCATTGGATTTAAGATTGAAACCACATCTATCTCCTTTAAAATACATTAAAGACCCCTGAAAAAGAAAATCAAAAGACACATAAATATCTATGAAAAGAGATGACAACAGGCTAAAATCGTTTTGAACATGATTCTAATGTGAGAAATACACTTTATCCACTAAAAATCACAGAAATTGCAGAAAATAGGAACAAAAACACAGAAAGCTTTCACCTTTTTCACCTTTCTCATTTCTAGAATTCCAGTTTCCAATAACCAAACAAAGCAATCCAATCAAAACATGAACAAACTGCAAACATTCAAAATTGTCTCATTCACATTCATCATTGGGGAAAACATAATTTTTTTAGCATTCAAATTTTATAGGAATTTGCTGAATGAACTTTTCCCATCAACCAAACACACCACCACCGCATAGAAGCACAAGTTCCAAACATAAACAAAAAGGAACATACCCATATGTTTGTGAGAAAGTAGGAAGTCGAAAGTTTTACCTTGAGCCCGTGAAGAAAAGGAGAAGGGGTTCTAAATGCCATCCTGGATAAGGACTGCTGATGAATGTAAGCAGATAAGGAGTGTGAGGGAAATGGGGCGGTCGCCATTTCTGATGATATCGAGAACCCTTTTGAGGATTGCGTAAAAATTCTACAAAGATGGTTCTTTTATGCTTTGCATCAAAATTCCATGGCTGAATTTGATGGGAAAGGATAAGATGGAACGGGAACTGTTCTGTATTTCTGGAAATTTTAGAAGGAAAAAACCGAGGACGGAAAGGGTTTATGCTGTTGGAGTCACAATCTGCTACTGACGCCACACCATAAAAGAGAGTGAAAGATATCTGGCCCCCTTCATGTAATGGTTGAGATTTTTAGATCTTGCATTGAAAAATCGTACTTTTAGTCTGTATAAAAGATGTAAATATATTTGCAGATATTAAAATTTAATTTTTTAAATGATATCAAAAGACATTTGTTTTTTCTAAAATAAAAAAATGCTAGCAATTCTTAAAAACGCTCTCCTTTTTTTTTTTTTTCATTTTGTATCTGTTTTTACAAATTTTTAGAAGATTTTTTTTTTTAATAAGGACAATAGTAAATAAGTTAATTTTATTAATTGTTAGTAAATAAAGATTCGATCATTAAATTTGATGAATATCCTACCTCTTTCAATGACGCATGCGACCCATCAAACCGCTTGGTGAAGTTATTTTATAAGATTTTTAAGTACCAAGTCAGAGGTGTTATTTTTAAACATTAAGAAGAGTAAGGTGTCTCCAATGCTGAGATGAGCTGAGAAAGATTTAAGAGAAGGTAGGATACTAGAGGACAAAAAAATAAAAGGACACTTTCATTCCTGGATCTGGGAAATTGGATTCTTAATGAAACACAATTAAGAAACATAATTAATTTGTCAGAAAAGAAAATAAAATTGAGCCAACATAAATATAGTCTCATTTTTTTTTTTCGGTACATAACATAAATATAGTCTCATGGCACAACATAAACAGATGGATTCTCGTTCATGCTTAACTCGATCAGTTTCCGGCAATTCAGCTTCCCTGACAAACTAAACATCAAACAAGTTTCTGGGAATATCCTTTTTTCTACTCGGCAATTATGCATTTTATAGTTATTCAAAATGGGATTTGAATCTCTTGAAAACGAAAAAATTCGACATTTTGATCACCTGCGAAAACAGTCGAAATCTTTATGGTCTTGCCGATAGAGATGACATGATACACAAATGACAGCAACAACCAAAGAATGTGAAGGAGCCAACAATATAAACTAGACGTAAATATATGAGTGAAGTAATTATCTTACTTGGGAACAGAAGAGATGTCATGGGAATAAGGGCTGGTAGAGAAGCCCTGTGTTTTCTGGGTATCCAAGCATTATATTAAGATTTTGTAATGCTTGGCCTGAAACTCCCTTCACAAGATTATCAATCTGCAGTGTGGATTTAAGTGAGCTTAGACAATGGTGATGAGACAATATTTATGTTGGAAACTACAAAACTGATTTAGCCTGATACGTACAACTGATATAATTACTGCTCTTCCAGGTATCCTGTCAGGAAAAACATTAATAAAGCAATAGTTAGAACCTAGAACATTATGAATGCGGGGAACAACACCCTTCTCCAACAACTTCACAAGTTCTTCTTCCTGTAGTATAGAATTAAACAGAAGGAATGCATCAATAACAACCCAACAAATAAACTAGTGCAAACCAAGTTATCTTATGAAGGAGTCTACCTTGTAAGTTATTAGCAATTGCTGGTATAGATCCTCAACTCTAACTCCTGGGGACATTTCTACATATATAGTTGACTGGATTCCACGGCTTTGGCATATCAAATCAAGAAATAAAGTCATGTTCTCTTAATTCTTTTGCAGGAGAAAAATGTTGGATTTTTTGGTGGTGAAAAACAGGGATTTGAGAGAGGAGTTGGAGGAGAAGGAGACACATCTGGAGTTCCCTCTTTTGGTGAGGTGAAAGCTCATTTTTTTCATTCATCTTCTGCCATTATATAGCACAAAATTTCTTAAAACAACAACAGTAATTTTCTCACCTAATATTTATCTAATACAAGAAAATCTATCAAGCATTTAAAACAAGATTACATTAAAAGATTTGCTGCCATTTGTGCGGCTCCATGTTGCTGTACTTTGCTGCTGTTTTGCAGCCTTCCATTTGCATTTGCATTTCATTTTCTGTTCATTACAGCCTCATTTCATCAACAGTTGCAGCCTATCTTGCTGCACTTTGCTGCTACTGTGCTGTGCAGCTCTCCCTTCTTCATTTGCTGCCATTTTGTGCAGCCTTTCATTTTCATTTGCTGCCATTTGAGACAGCTTTGACACCACAACTCCAACAAAAAACAGAACACTAATACTCAACTCAAGTACATTAGCTTGCAACTATTACCATTAGCATGAGGTGTGGAGTAAAACTGAGAGTTATTTTTGAATGTGCAGCCCCAGAAAGTCCTTGTTCAATTTCTGGAACTGTTAAAAACAGAATCCATATCACAGGTTGCAACTCAAAGCAGAAAGGCCAATCAACTTTTAAATAAGTTTTACCTAACATACCTAGCAAGGTAATGAGCATTTCATCATAATAGCTAACTACAGAAACTTGATTCTGAGGTCAAGATTACAAGTACAAGTCTTTGAAATAGCTAAACACCAACTTCCTTCGCCAATTAAAAAAAATAACAAAGCATTTCACTTCCATTGGCTATGATGATGCTTAGGGGCCCAATTTACATGATCAAAAGACTCACCATGGCGATGCCTTGTAACACCATATGAGTATATGCCTTCAGCAATTTCAGAGTATAGATTCGCCTCTTTGGCCCCACGTCCTGCAAAATATAGCCTGCATGAGAAAACTGCTAACAAATGCAGCTAAGTACAAAGAAAGTGGCATGCATGAGAATATTATATTGCTAAGAACATGCATGAGAATATTCTGATTCTGGCATTTTCTCTAGATACAGTGTCACCTATGGATACAAACCTTCCACAAGCATCCTTTATTGAAGGATATTGAATTGAAAGTTGCGGTAATCATTTTTCTAATCAAGTCTGCACAAAGTTTAAAAGAAAAAAAAAATCAGTAAAGAAAATGTTAGCAATACTAAACACGGGTACGCATGTGTCTCCATAAGTTCGCAGCATTTACCTGAACTAGCAGCAAGCAAGATGCTTCTGACTTGCTGGAAGGGTATTGCTGGGAGAAACAACCTAAAATCAGGGATCAGCCAGAGCCAATAATGTCAAATCTGTTTACTCTAGGCTAAATTATAATGCTTTCCGCTTATTGGAATGTCAAGTTTTCAACTTTTACAATCAAACCAACAGAAAGTTTAAAAACTTTTGTGAACGTAATTCTGGGAAAATTAGCCAGGAGATAGAATTCAATTAGCTTAGAAAGGGAAGAAAAGAAGAAAAGGTGATGATTTTTGACAAAACCACTAAACCCTACCCTGAGAGAGAAAATGCAGGACGTCGAACCTGTGGTTTAAAGCAGTTAGACGCCGACGTTAATGGGTGTCGTGTCGTCGACCGGAGGGAGGGGCGGCAGTTGGTGTCTTGCTGTGTTTCCGTAAGAGAAGGAAGCACATTGCATCATGCCCTTATAAAAGGGACCCAAAAAGGAGTGAAATTGCATGAAACTCCTTAAGATTTTCCATCAGTTGCACTTTAGTCCTTTTTTCAAAATAAAATCCATTTCCCCACTAGAAAGTAAATTGGGAAATTTTGTAGTGGACTAGTTAGCCTGCAGACTTTCTTTCTAGATTTAGTGGAATGCTCAAATTATGTGTTTTATATATATATAAAATATTTTTTTCAATCGCATAATAAGAGAAAAAACTCTCTTTCTTAAATTATTCTCTTTTAAATTATTATATGAGAAATTACATGTGCACAAGTGGCAACATGCACTATCAAAATTACAAAAAGATTTCAGGGAGCCAAAGAATGTTAATCCCAACACCTTTTACCATACAAATAATGAAACTCAAACTTAAAATACACAAGAGTAACTTACATAAACAAGATAACGTGCTTTATAGTTTTAAGTACCTTCTATAAGACGTCGGAATTCAGTGAAAATAGGTGTCTTGCAAAGGGGTAGGCACACAGACAAGTATATAGCAAAGCAAAGTACAATTACGGAAAGAATAGCCTTCATTAACTCTGAGGGTACCAACACTTGATTGTCATGGCCACAGCCACAGTTACAATGCTTATATGGACTGTTGTGCAGAAAGGAAACAGCATCAATCTGTGATCAGGAAATCTACCTAGCTGATATTTCAACTCTGGCCACCAGAATTGATTCTTCTCAGGTGCTCTAACACGTCTTTTTGACCAGTTAGGTGTTCAACTAATCCTGCCATGAAAAAAAAAAAGAAGAAGCAAAATTAATGCACAAGCAAGTAACAAAGGAGAAGAAGAGGTAATGACATCAAAAAAGGTAAGGCTATGCTAGCTAATTATTTATATGAAGTACATATTTGTAACACAATACAGTTGGATAAAATATTTCGTAGTACCATTTGTAAAATCTCGACAGTCATGATGCCCAATCCTCAGATCAGTTTCCCATGTATTAGTGAAATTGAATGCTTTATCTACAGCATTCTCTCCGGAAGTTCCAACAAACCAACATTTGCTCCGTGGCAGCTTTGTCAACTTCCTTGTAAGAACAGCTCCTATTGAAATTGCAAAGTGAACGCATTTAGAAAAGGAAATGAATTACACCATCCTATTCCGAGTTTTTAGAAACCAAACCCAAAATCCAGAATTACAGTCATGTAATCAATATGAAGATTTGGAGGGTAGGGTTTGTAGAATATTGCTCAGAACCAAACTGAAGAAAAGAATTCCATAGAAATACTGCTAGCATGGGAAATTTTATAAGGACAGCTATGCTTCATGAAAACTAAACTTGACACATCTTTGGCCAAGATATTTGACAGAAACTAAAATTTGGGAAACAAAATAAGATCATGGTTTGTATATGAACAGAAAGTTTCAGAAACCAATTAAAGATTTCAGATTTTGATGTCAATATCGACAAAGATATCTTATAAGACCAATTGACACAATACATTGCATTTCGGGATACAACTGCCACAGAACAAACATTTGGGACGAAACTTGCTGTACATTGGTGACTAACCTGGTAGTGTTCTGCCAGATAAAACGGCGAGTGCCGCATATATGTTTTCAGGGTCTTTTGGTTGAAAATCAAAAACAAAAGCCTACATACACTATAAAGAGAGTTTCAGTCTGCATCACTGAAAAAGAAAAAAATACTCAGAAATGCTAACATCAAGACATATGCCCCTCCAAGGAAAATGGACCTCAAAGTATGCAAAACTAGAGGGTTTTGCTTCCAGGATACTAACCAAGGTTCTTGTGGGATTAAAATTATTCAAATTCACCATAAAAGAAAAAAAAAAGACCCAGAATTAACTACCTATCCAGCAGAATCAAGAAGTACCCAACGCTAAATTTGCAACTTTTTTGGTCTATATTGGGTATCAGTGCAAGCATTCATTGAACAAATTTAAACAAATTAAAAAAGAGGAAGAAAAGGAACATAATTTTAGAAAACGTCTTCGAACCCATATAGAGAAAACCGCTGGAACTATCAATGCAAGAAAAAGAATAAATTCTGGGAAACTGGTGCAAGGGAGAAAGAGAAGAACTAACCTGAGAACATTGAAGGGGAGGTGAGGTGGGTTTTACAATGACCATGAAGTGCTGCATGTCCCAGAGATTAAGAGAGTAAGCGGCAGACACAAGCAGCTGCGCTGGTCCTTTGGTCGCTCGTAGCGGCACAGCAGCCACATACACCTCATCCCTTCCTCTCCTTCCTGTTATTGTGGATTTCGTGAATGGGAGAGAAGACATTTTTGACTTCTGGACATGAAAAATCAATCATTTCATTTTTACACTCCAGCGAATGGATGGCAGCAAATGAGCAGTCCGGCTCCGGACACGGTCCCCACTCCCAAGACTGGCACTCTGTGGAGTTTCAAACCCGGGGCGAGGACCAACCCGGAACTGGTCACAGCCTCCGAAATAAAAATTACTCTCTTAATTTATTTTTTAATAGATTTAATTTAATTTTTTAATTTTAAAATATAAATTTTAGATTAAAAAATTAATAATTTATATAAATAATAATTAAAATTTTTTTAATTAAATAAAAATATTTAACAAAAATTATATATAAGAATAAAAAAATTTTAATTATTATTTATATAAATTATTAAATATTTATCTAAAATTTATATTCTAAAAATTAAAAGGTAAAAATAGAACTGTTAAAAATGAAGGAGTAGATAATGTAACAAGACCACATGAAAGGTATTACTATTAAATCATTGTATGAAAGTTTGTCAGGGAATACTTTGACATAAATACTAAACT